AAAAAGCTTAATTAAAAATTCACACCACCTAACCAGACACTTCACCGTTATCCTTAATACGAAATTGCTAACAGTCCCACTAGTAAATAACATCTTTTAACTATTTCATACCTACCTATACAATGATAAAACCCAAGGATTCCACCATTTAGACATTCTTTTTTGGCTCGTACAACATACTCTTTGTCTTATTAATATTGATAGACTCATTTCGATAACACCGTATCCTTTCTCATTATTCACCTATTCCTCACGCATACACTCGAGCATGCAGTCCATTTAGTATAATCCACAATCATAATGTGATATATGGTTATCTATTGAATGCATTGCGCTGCTTGGAATATGCTATTCTTTCGCTTCATATTTAGAATGTACATTCAAATTGTTACCTTTGTAAATATATGAAGAGGTGTTTGTACATACAGTTGATATTGACAGGTGGATACTTGTTCCTTTCCCTTTCGGACCTTTACAGATATTTATATTTTGACCAATGACCAAAAAGCGGGTTATATTATCGATCATTCCCTTCAGCCTTTATACTACAAAAAAACAAAAAAAAAAAAAAATCCAAGTTATACATTTTACATTTACGAAACAAAACAAAAAAAAAAAAAAAAAATCTTTTTTCCAAAAAATAATTCATATTTTTGGAGATATAATTATAGGATAAAAATTGGGAATGATTCGAAGTACTAAAAATTAATAAAAAAAAAAATAAAAAAAAAAAAAAGAAAAAAAAAGAAAAAAAGAAGAAAAAAAAAAGTTCATTCAAAGCGAGCGGGATGTATTAATGGAGGAGAATTTAATTTGAGGAAAAAAGCCCTTATTAGTGAAATTAATATCACTACAAATTTATCATATATATTTAAACATACTATTATTCTATTATTATTTTTTACATCAGCTGCATCTATTTTTCTTGTTTATGATTGTATTCTTTTTTTTTATTTTTTTTCAACCTTAGACTAAAAAAATTACTACGGTATCACTGTGTAAATGGCTTATTTTTTCGGTGAATTTCTTAATTTTTTTGTTTTTCTTTCAGTAGGAATGAATTTTGTCATAATCCTAGAATGAAGAGCATTTCCGTTAACTATTAAATTACACCAAGAAAGTACGCCAAACGAGGAATTTAGAATGGATTAGTATTTTTTTTCGAATGTTTGCTAACAAAATTTCTTTACAAGTTAGAAACTATTAATTACTATATTCGAATTTTAATATATAGAAATCAAGTGAATTGAGCTCTTTTCATTCACTTACCATTTCTAATTCTATTTACGCTCCTAGTCTCATCATTATTTTATCTTCAAAAAGCTTTTCTTCTCCGAAAAAGAAAACTTTACAATAAGAAATTTCATTTATAAAAAAAGCCATTTACATTAGATAAAAAAATACCAAATATCTTAATAAAAATAATAAAATTTATTAATCCTAGTTTCATTATTTATACATAATTAAGATTTTGATTTTATTTAGTATTGTCAGTACTTAGATATGATTATTTTCTGAATTGTATGATTTTATTGTTATCACATTGCCAAAATTGCAGTATAATCAGCACAACTCTATAATAAAAAAAGATGGTCTCTGACCATCTTTTTTTTCATCGTGATAATGAACTCGCTTGACCAACAAATTTAGGTCGACTACAAACATCATAATTTTTTAAACCAAACGTTTATATCAAATAATATATTTAAGAAAATATGAGAATATGAAAAATGAATAAATAAAATACATGGAGAAACTAAAAATCAGATCTTAAATAATAAAAAATCACGTCGAGAACGCGTGAATAAGCATGATGAAATCCTTGAAATTTCATTGGCTGCTTATAGTAAACGCGACAGATAAGGCACTTCTGGTGAATCTTTTCACTGTTGATGCAATAATTTGTATTTTGACCGTTGGGCTGCCAAAGGTCTTAAAGGGGGCAAGCTTTTGCAGTGGGGAGATACTTTAGTTGTAAACGAAATTGGCTTTGGGTAGGTCTTTATTTGTGTTTATTTTGTTCATTCGTATTTACAGATTTATTTTTTTGAAAAATGGACTGAATCGCACCGTCACGATTATGTTATGGCATAATGACTTCCATCGGACTACATTCTAGATCAGCTTCATTTTGAGAATGTTACGTCACGACAATCTTTTTCTATTTTAATTTAGATCATATACAACGACGTTTTACATTTTTTTATTTATGTAAATAAAAAATAAAATACGGGATTATGGTTTATTATTGGCAGATTTAATTTTTTGAAATAATAACCAAGCCGACTTAACAGTTTTAACCGACTACAATCACTAACTTTCACTGACTGTCATCCATCATTGAATAATCTGGAGGTGCAAATGGTTTGACTAGCATTTCAGAAAACTCTTTGATATCTTGTGTACCACGTATTTCTTTTGTTAAAAGTGGCATTAAAACAATATGAAAATCTTCATAAAGGTTGTAAATTTGGTCTAGATATTTTTGTTGCATTTTGTGCCGAACCAGGCATTGTTCACAATTAGAATCTATTAAAAAATTTACGTATTCAAAGTATTTTATGAGTTTCTCAATAGCAATAAATTGAAAAAATTAATATCGATATATGCTAAACAAATGTCAAAGTATGAAATTTACCTTTCCGTGGAAACAATAATTGATTTACAACGATATTGTGTGTGTCGATATGATAAGTGGTTAATTCTTGAATCATTCGTTCCGTCTCATAGAGAGACAAGAACTCGGAAATACACACGCAAATGAATGTGGTCTTATCCTATTATTATAAAAAATTAAATTTATTGTTATTAAAATTCATAATATACGTAATTAAAAGGAAAATGGTTTTAAATCAACGTACCGGATCTTTAAATTGATTATTCACTTCTGTAATAATGGCGCGCATTCCTTCAAGTTTTCCAAACATATCTTCTTGATTAGCATTAAGACCCATCATACCAGACATCTGTAATTTTCGTCCACAAGAAATTAATAAAATTTCTTAACTCTTACTAAAAGCATGTGTTTATATAAATTGCCCCATTTTCCACATAGCGTAATATTGCTCTCTTACTTGCTGAAAAACTGGTCCGAATCGTCCACTCAATTGCGCAATTTTTGCTAATGCCTTTTCCAACACACTAGGAAAACTCAAAAACCGCAATGTATGACCAGTGGGGGCAGTATCAAAGATGATTACTGAATATTCCATAGTTTTTACTTGCCTGATAAATTAGTAAACGAATATAAATATAAAAATTAATTTATCGATCCTGAAATTAGGGATTGGACCCGATGGGCGTTTCCACGGCTATTCTATGAGTAAAGCGTAATCCTGACTGAATCAGCCAAAGTTAGGAACAACCAGAACATTCCTGGGTTGATTAATATATAAAAATACCAACCCAAAACATCTGAATTATCTGACAATATTTTTTTTTCTTTAATGGATTCATTCTCTAACCGTTTTACTCGGGTAGAGTTTTTAACGGGTCCAATCCCTACCTGAAACAAATGACCTATTTATTTACTTCATAACTTCAGCGAACCCCATTGCTTCATCAACACCAGGAATGGCAAATGCAAGGTCCTGCATCATAGCTCCCATAGCTCCTCCACCTTGTTGTTCAGCTAATGTAAAAAAAAAAATAATAATAATAATAATACTGGCTTAATGTACAAGAAATACAGATATCTACTATTTTTTTTTTTAAAAAAAAAGAGACATATATAAATACATTGATCTAACATCTCTTGAATCGATGATGTTGGGTCAATTTCCTAAATAAAGTCATTTAAATAATAAACATGTAAACTATATTAAAATGTGAACTAGATTATAAAAAATTGATACAAATAATTTGTCATTCAAAATTAATCAAAAAATTTTACATTACCATCGCATACAAATTTGTAAACCCATCTACCAGAGTAGCTTCTTTACTGAATTTTTGGCCAAAAGCATCACTCAAATTATGTGCAGGGTCAGTTGATATTAGTAAAACAGACTCTCTCACTTTGCTAAGCTGTACCGCGAGGGAACATGATGTTGTCGTTTTACCTACGCATTTCATTGACACGATCACCTTCAATTTTCTCCGAACAAAGACAGATACGCATGTAAAGCAAATTCAAATAGATTATATTTACCAACGCCTCCTTTCCCACCGACAAAAATCCAATGTAAAGACTTTTGGTCTAGTACATTTTGCAAAGTAGGTTCAAATTTTTCGAATTCTTCATCAGAGGAATCTTGAGACATTTTGCAGAAATTAAGACACTTATCGGCCTTTCTAACCGAGTATGTATGACGTACACTTCTAGACTTTATATATGAACATTATTGTCATATGATTTGAACTACGGTACAACACGTATAAAACATAGCGGGCTTTCTCTGTGATTGGCTATTTTTTCGCAGATCATTTTATGGGGCGTAGCAATTTCGCCCAATCAGAAACAGCGCAGATCATTTTAAAAGACTACGTTGCTGTAGCTATTACTTATTTCTGCCAAGAACATTTTTGCTATGATAAAATTATATATTGATATACAGTAGTAATTTTATTATTAATAATTGATTTATTAATTGATTCAAAGTAATAAAGCATGAGAATTTTATATCTTAAATTATTTATAAAAATATCTTTTTGAAAAATATAAATATTCTATTAAACTAATAAATTACAGCTACATGTCCCAGCTCTTATATTACAATTTATATACTTGTTAAATTACTCATTGCCCTTTCGAAAAGTATATCTACATTACTTTCTAAAGGCAAATTTTCACCACCCATATTTGTATTATCGACAGTTATAGTATTATTTGATTTACTTGTATTAGTAGCCGTGGTCATACGATCAAATTTGTTTAGAGTTTTCTGATAACTCTTACAATTTTCTTCAATACCGCTTACAAGATAATTGGTACAATGCTTACATAGATTTTCTAATTTAAATAAAAAACATTTATGGTGATAAGCATGCCCACATATTAGAACATAACCTACCTCACGATTATCTACACAATCCTCAAAATCACAATATTTATCCTCTCAGGGTGGGTATGCCGTATTCCAAACCATCGCTAGTATTTTAACATCAACTTGAGCTTCAAGTGTTGGAAGCTCATATATTTCTGGCCACGAATCTGTATCATATGAAATAGCTTTCAACCTGCCAATATTTTGATGGACATTCATAAAGAAATTCAACAGAAAAATTGCAACACACTTCTCAAGATACTCTAGCTGTTTTGCCAAATATCTGATATTATGATTCTCAGAAAAGGCATCAGTGAAAGAATTTCCGTCACGCATCTGGTCTATTACTCGTGCCTGTCAAATAATTTGATCCGGAGTATTCAATTTCTGAATTTGCCATCGAAGTAAGCTATAGAAATTCTCTACATAATAATCATTAAAAGTATGAATAAAACCTTCAAGAGCTTGTAAAATAGGATGATTAGTACTGGACCAAAAGAAAATATTATTAAAAAACGCTAATGGTAATTTTTTATAATTTTTACACTTATATTGATAAAACATAGCCCAAATACGAAACATTGCCTCCTTGTATACTATTCAATTTCTACTACGAAATATGACAAGATAGAAATCTAAAACCAGTGGAATAATGTTGTCCAACAAGTTTACGAGGTATCTAACTTCTGGGTCTTTGGATCATTTAAATTTTCGCAGAATCGTTGAACGTACTCAGAACCACCTCTGAAATGCCAATTCAAGTAATAAATTAATTTTATAAGATTTTGGTTTTGTGTCAAAACCTTATTATGTCCGAATACCTCATGAAAAAGCTTGTCAAAAAATATATAATTTTCAAGAAATACAGTTTCATGACTATTTAAAGATACATGCAAAGGCCCAATCATTAGGACAATATACAAAATTTGCTCTGGTATTTCAAAAGAGTCGTTGAATTTGATGTGATAGTTAATGCATGCCATACATGAAGCTGTCCGGGGTAGTTCATAGGTGCCACAAATATACGTATTTCTAAATAAGTTTTTACTTCTGGAATATCTATAAGATGTTTAAGCGCATTCATATATTCTAAAGTAGAATGAAGAGACCCTTCTTTTAAATCCACTAGTTTTGTATTTTCCATGCTTCGATCAGTCCGATGTTGTTCAATTCTATCATCGTAACTGTGAATTAAGAGGCGTTCGACTCGCTCATCATGGGTTGTCAGCACAAGAATCAGATTTGTGAACGATTGCCTTCGACCTGTATAACTAAGCCATAAATAAGGAAAGAATAATACATGAGCATTTGGTATTATAATGTTTGTATCTATACCCCTCTCATTATAAAGACTTTTTTCTTGACAAAACGGAATAGATATCATTTCTGGCAAAGCTTTTAGGAGTATTGTGGCAAAATGAGCAAAGTCTTGCGTAAACGTTGTGTCACTACGGTAATATTCATGACAATTATAAAAATCGTCTATGTTAAGAACAACCAAGTTTTCGATCTATGAAAAGATTGTTATTTTTTGCAATTAAAATTTATTAAAAAAAAAAAAAAAACTTATATATTTACATTTTCCAATAAAATTCGTCCACCTTTGTCGTATGCATTTTCGTATGTTGAACCTTATGTCTTCTAATTGTTTCATATCTTACTGATACACTTGCATTGGCCAAGATTTTAATTGTTAATGAGGATGTACCCGCTGCATCTAATAAAAATCCAACCTCCGCCTTAATACTATTAATAAATTTATTATTAAGTCCTGATAAGAAATAGCAAAACAAAACCAGCATTTTCTTATTTTTTTCATTAGTAGCATGGCTTTTTGTTTGCGGATTAGTTTTAGCTACTAATTGATTAAAAAAACCTTTCAATGACGGTTCAGCTTCCTCAAGTATTTTGGTGAACTCTTTTGGATCGAGAACGGGTTTTTCATTATACACACGCTATCTCATATACAACACTCCTGCTATTAGTTTAATTTTCTAGCTAAGAGGAACCAATTCTAAAAGATAAATAATACAATTAATTAGAAGTTTTTAAGAATTGAATACCAATGGCATCCTGCAGTAAAAAAAAAAAAAAATTTTTATTATTATTTACCCAATTTCAGTTCATTAAGTTCAGCACATACTTCTTGATAAGCAGACTCCAATTCCTAAAATTCTAATTAAGAATAAGTAACATCATCTCGTAATACATATGACCTACCTTGAAAATTTCTAATATAATCCCTAGAAATTCTCTTAATTGGTAACGAATAGTTCGGCAAATTTACATATTCTAGATCAGTATCGGTCTTATATAAACAGTGGCAACATATTTCAACCTTTGGTGGCAAGCTAAAAAACTCAATAAGCCATTTTGGAACCTGCTTAAATATTTTTCCTTCTGTACCTTTCTGAGCTGTAAGAATATATGTCTCATGTTTAGAATGAGAACAAGCTTTAGCTTTTTTCACATTTTTTGCATTTACTATTAACTTATTATAATGTTTTCTATATAGCACTTTGTTAACCAAATCCAGGTGTTCACTCAAATCAGGTATAATTACTTTTTCTGTAACTACACGAACACCATTCAGCTTGTAATTACACTCAACATCATCCTCGCCTTCAAAGTCGCAGACCCTTAATTTTCTCTTACCTTTCTTTTCAATACTGAAAGCTTGAGACTGGTTATTCTCAGTAGATGCCATCATATAATTTTTAAAAAAAAGTTTACTAGAGGTAATCTTGTAGGTTCATGTAAATTCTTATGAATTACTAGCAGCGAAGAGCCAAAAAATACTCTATATAGCTAACTTCTAAATTATTTGACCTTTCTTCGGATTATTTTGATATGTTATAGAACAAAGAGTATAGTTTCAGAATTTATATGCCACATCCTTTGACAATTCGTTTTCATGGCTGCCAATTCATTTAAAGTCAGCTGTCATATGTGGGGTATATACAACTATACATCTCAATGATTGACCAATCAGATTTAAAGCCCGCTATATTTCACGTATAACACATAGTATTTCAGATATTAAGTAGGATGTTTCGAAAGGTTTTTACTAGATTCTACAATTGTGTCACAACTCAAACTATATTTGGATTAATCATTCCTCTCCAAGATACATCAGTTAAGGGTATTAGCATTGAACTAAACAGCTAAATATTTGATTTAAAAAGTTAAAAATGAGTAAATTTTATCAAATTTCATCAATTTTAATACCAATTTTATTAATAATATATATATAGTATATAGTAAATTACTTTAGTTCAACTTTACTAATATTTTTAAACTATAAGCAATTCTAATCTAAGCAAATTGTTTATTTTTTTTATAATTCAGCAATCCTGTCTCGGTTTATTTAAGATTAAACTATTCAAAAAATTTATATAAATTTCTATCTATAGTTGTTACTAATCTAACCAAACAAAAGGCTCATCTAATTTGCGCCCAGTCTCAGTAGCCATTGGTCTTTCTCTGGGTTCTTAACTTACTAAGAACTTATTTTTCTTTGGTTATAGACTAGTGGTTACATGCTTTGTCAGTACTGCCTTTTATTACTATATCTATTTTTATTTTGTATCTTATTTTTTTTTTTTTTTTTTTTTTTACTTTGGCCATCTTGTCAGTATTTTTTATTAAGTTTCTATTTATCAGGTACAGAAAAAGGTGTGGCAAAGTATGTCTAATAATTTGAATCTAATAGTCTGCAGTTATTTTGGAAGTATTTACAAGCAACTGGCCATACTGAGCAGACATATCTCTTTGAATACTTCTTGATAAGTTTTAAAATAAAAACTGTATCTATCTCAGAAGGTATTGTCAAACAATAGGATATCACCAATCTGATGACATCTTTTGTAAAGAAATAAAAAAATCAAAAAAGTACTAATACTAATACTAATATTAAAAATGAGAAGAAAAAATAACAAAAACTAATACTAAAAACAAAAATAGAGATGAAAGATAAAAGAAAAAAGAAAAAAAATCTAACAAGTTATAATTCTAAGGCTGTGTCGAGCTTTTAAAAATTATATATTACAAGATAAAGAAGCTCTGTATCTAACTCTATTCTAATAATATATATATGTATCTATAGCAAAAAATGAGAAAAGATAGCTCTAAACTAAACTAGTAAACTAAAACTAAAAAACTAAACAGAGTAGTCAAAATTATACCAGTAGTCTCGAAGTATTGTTTAACAAATCTATAGCATTTAAGTCATATTATTCTCATATATTGTTTCTGATTTACTTTTATATATTTTTAAATCAACTTTTATATATATACTAGGTTGGTGAAAAGTAACTAAATGGTGACCTTTTTTTAATGCTCTTTTTTAATTATGATGATAATCACTTTGATGCTTAGTAATAATTGATATAAATTAAAAATCATAATGTATAATTTTTTTTATCATACACTATGTCTTGTTATATTATTAAAGAACATACAGAACTTGTAAAAATTTATTTTAAGGAAAATTCATTTAAAAAAACTGCTAATATCTTTCATATGAAATATCCCAATAAATCTAAACCTGCTTTAGCAACTATTTATAATCTTGTAAATAAATTTACTAGAACAGGAAATGTTGTAAATAATCATTGTTCTGGTCATCTAATAAGTGCAACTAATTATGATAAACAAGAGGTTACTATTAATACTCTTCAAAAAAATCCACAACAATCAACAAATCAAAAATCAATGTTTTTCCTTTTAGTATTCAAAAAATTTTAAAAATTCATAAATTCTACCCTTATAAGTTTCAACTTCACCAAGAGCTTCTTGATATCGATCCTAATTTACAACTTGAATTTTGTAATAGATTAATAACACTTATTATAAATGATGAAACTTTTATCTCTCGTATTTGTTTTACTGATAAAACAGTTTTTTATTTGAATAGTGAAGTAAACAAACATAATTGCCATTATTAGAGTAAAAAAAATAAACATATTCTAAGAGCTAATAATATGCAATATCCACAAAAAATTAATATTTGGGCAGGAATAATAAATAACTTTATTATCAGTTTATTTTTTATTGAAGAAAATTTAAATAGACCTAAGTATTTGAAAATGTTACAGAATATTATTATCCTAGAGTTGAATAATTTGTTTCCTGAAACTAAAGTTATTTTTCAACAAGATGGAGCACCTGCTTATTTTAGCAAGGATGTTTGTAAATATCTTGATGAAACATTTTCTAATTGGTGAATAGGTCGAGGAGGGTCTTATAAGTAGTCTCTTCATTTATCAAACCTTGCATCACTTGATTTTTTTTTGTTGAGATACCTTAAAACTAAAGTTTTTAAAATATTTTCTAATAATATTGAAGAATTGAAATAATAAATTATTAATGAATATGAAAATATTACTCAAGAACAATTAGCAAATATTAGATATACATTTTTTTAATCATCTTAGATACTGTATTAAAGTTAACAGTCAACATTTTGAACAATTAATTTAATATATACCAGGTTGATAATAATTTATATACTATTTTTTTTAAACTTAATGTTTTATAAATTGTATGATTGATGCTAGCCATTATATATATATTGTATTGTACTTTAAAATTAAATGGGGGTAGTAAAAAAGATCACTATTTAGTTACTTTTTACCAACCTGGTACAGTACACTACTTAGACTAATTAAGCTATGCAGATTACCAGATCTACTAAAAAAGTAAATATATATATAGTAACCTCCTATTTTGAATAATTAACAATACTGGTTGTTTTGAAAAATTATATATCAATTTTTGAAGTGGGTAAACTAAGATATCTACTTTTTAACAAAATTTATTCAAAAAAAGTAGTAGGCTAACAAGCTTTTCTGTGATTGTTCCTTGTAAGTTTTATAGTTATATAAAGATAACTTAAAGTTTAAAATATCCTTAGTATTGATCTAGTCATTCTGTATTTTCAAAATATCTTTCTGATTTAGATGCCAAATATAATAAAGAAGTTCACTAACCAAAGTTTGATCTCTACAAAAACTAGTTCAAAGTAGATTACTCAGTTTTATACTCTTGGTAATTCATCAACAACACATCTACTTTTATAAGACCAAGTTTATTATTTACTTCAGTATCTTTTATAGTATTTTTTTATAATTTAGTTTTTTTGGTTGTTGTTAAAGAATCATTAAGAAGAGTATTAATACCAATGATTTTGCATCTTATTAATAATAATTATAATTGTTTATATTATATTATATTAGATTTTTAATGTTTTTAAATATAAAAGTCTCGTGATTCTCTTTTTTCTTTACCGTATTCCTCTAAAAATAAGCACCTTTTTTTTGCACTTAATGCTGGCCGTGATTGTTATAAAGCAGGCCAAAGTTGGCATAGTGTGGACCAGGGTGCTTATTTTCGGGAAATGCTTATTTTTGGAGGAATACAGTACTTCTAGTATTTGGTTTTGTTTACTACAGTCAAACCTTCATAAATGCAACATGTACAGACTAGCCTAAAACGTGCATTTAGGGAGGTTTGCATTTAAAGGGAGTTAATCAAATTGCAGCTTTTAATATTTGATCTGCAGACTTGTATAATAAACTTAAATACCAACTTCTAATGCTATGTACATTTAGTGAGATTAGTATAATATAAAAAATCTTTTGAGTGAACATGCATTTGCAGAATATAGAACATGTATTTAGCACTAATAATTTTATACAGCCAACACAAAAATATGCATTTAGGGAGGTATTGTATTTATGGAGGTTGCATTTAGAGAGGTCTGACTGTATTTTTTTAGTTTAATTGTTTTCTTTTATTTTTTATTTTATTTTTTTTTAATCATTTTGTATCTTATTTAAAAGTTCAGATATGTTGTTGAAATCTCTTATTGAATTTGTTTAATATATTAACAATTATTTTCTTTATTGTTTTTTTTTGAAGTATATTTTTTATTTTTTTTTGCTTGTCTTGAATTAGATTTCTCATTATATGAGTTTTTGTTTTAATCCTTTTGGGATCTTTAGTATCTTTTTTTTTTTGCTTTATTTTAGCAGATTGTGCTAGTACTTTTATTTAATCAAGTCACATCCTTGTAGAGGGAGTCAAATATTAAAACTACAGGTCTGATACTCTGCGATTACCTTGTATAATCTAACCAATTATCTATATATATCTATAGTGACCACAATACATCAGAAGCATATAATTAATTAGAATAATATCTTCTAAGAGCTTATCTGACCACTGCTCTACAATAGGATATCACCAATCAGATAATATCTTCTTATAGAGAAGTAAAAGAAAAAGAAAAAATTTACTGTATAAAGTAAAACAGAGATATAGGAGAATATATAAAAAAACAAATAAAAGAAAAGAAGAGAGTAAGAGTAAGGGAGAAAAATTAAACTAAATATGAGATTTTTCACTCACACTAGACAGTTACAATTATAAGTCTGTATCAGGCTCTTTAAAAATTACATACTACTATCTAAA